CCCCCCCCCCCCCCCCCCCCCCACCAAAAGACTTTAATTAAGTTGTAGCAATGGACAGGCAGAGTCCCAGCTACTGCAGCTGCAGGGGGGTGGTATCTTTACCAGGGGCAGTCACTGATGTTGTGTCCTGAATTATCAGCTGTTGGCCTGTAAGCTTATCGTTAAAAGGTGGGAGACCCATTGCAGCTGTACCATCCCTCACGTCACACCTAATAATACACTCTGACAACAGGCAGAGTGGGAAACAGCGTTAGGGGGCCTGACTGACTCACTGGGTCTGGAGCAGGACTATATATAAGGTCAGGCTTGCTGGGAGACAAAGACACGCACTAGGAAAACAACCAGCGAATCTCACTGGAAAGAGGTGTCTGTGGAATCAATACGCCAACTTCAATCACCATGTCACAGGTAAATTAGGTTAAATATGGTGTTTTGATATTCACAGAAATTGAACACAGTGCTTTGAGACAGACCCTCTTAACACCCTTAACAGTCATAACCTTCCCGTCTTTGTTATTCACTCCAGCCAGCCGAGATGAAGAAGAAGAAGCGTCCCCCGATGAAGGAGGAGGACCTGAAAGGAGCCCGCAGTAAACTGGGACTGAAGGGCGAGGTCAAGAGTAAGACCTATGAGGTCATGGCGGAGTGTGGTGAGTAAAGCCTTTTGTTAATGCTGTTTCCTCTGACTCTAGAAAACACCCATGTGGTGTAACACCATGTCAGATGTGAATAAAAAGCAAAATAAATAAATAGAAGACGAAATGAATACATATATAAATACTTAGATGCGCCATTAAATGAATAAATAAATGTTGGAAATTATTAGAAATACAGAAATAAATAAATGTAGATTAATAGAAATGTAGAAATGAATTGAAGATATCTATTTTCCAATTGATTAACAACATTTATTTATTCATGCATTTAATAAAGCATTTGTGTAGTTGCCCGTTGGTGCATTGGCTCATGCGAATCTTTTAATTATGTTAGCGTGACATTAAATGAGTTTGTTACAAAAGCGTTCCCTGACCGGGAATCGAACCCGGGCCGCGGCGGTGAGAGCGCCGAATCCTAACCACTAGACCACCAGGGAAATCTATAACGTGTGTTGCAGCAGAATTTTAAAAAACACGGTTTTCTTCCAGTGAAGACATTATCGTCATTAAACGACCGTTGGAGTCTGTGTGTTGAGCACGTAACTTCAGTTTCCTATAGGTGAGCTGATGTTATCGACTATACCCACAGCAGTGCTAGCTAAAGCTAGCAAACATTCTGCACTTGCATTTTACATCTGGCTGCTCTCATGAAAATTCTAATAATTAACCCTGCAACAGGCGGGGGATGTGGAGGTGTGTTACACAATCACTGGTGGAATTAATTACTTTTGCTCAAGTGAAATACCTCGACAGACAGTTTGGGGCTCGCCTACTGCTCCACTTACATTTATTTGACAGCAAAAATTACGTCAATTTTGAGTTACTTCACATCCTCATATTTTACAAGTATACCATCTTAGAGACACACAGATATGTGACGCTGTCTAAATACTGTGCAGATATCAGCTCTTTTTTTACTATGCCAGGTTGGATGTATTGTTGCTGACTGCTGTGTTACTGTAATGCCTGTTGTGGGATTTGTCAAATTGTTAAAACAGATTAAGCTGGAAACACAGCGGGCATTTTTGCAGCGTTTTCTCCACATAATCCAGTAGCTGACTAATGAAAAATATTTCCTGTGCTAGGCTTTTGTATTTAATTATTTCTTGATTAACTTATTGCCAAAGTAATCTGCAGCTGCCTTTAACAATGTGCTCTTGCTGACAGATGCTAACACCATTCACGCACAACCCTGCTGCACTTGCATAGATTTTCTTGTATGCCCTTTAAACTTTACCCAGCCGCACAAATATTGTGTGGGTGCGTGTGTGTGTGTGTGTGTGTATGTGTGTGTGGTCAGAATCAATATAGAAAGCCAACATTCACTGTTTGCAGCTTATTAAGTCAAACTTGCTTTTTGAATTCTACTTGAGAGAATGTAGTTTACATGTTACCTCTACTTTGTCCAGACTAAGAGATAGTTCAACAAAATGTTTAAATATGGCTCGGTTTGAATGATTGAAAGAGTTAATGTGAGCAGGAACTGAGAGGCAGTATTTACTGTAAAGACATGAAAATCCCAATTTTTTTTAACTGGGAATGAGCCAGTTGGCGAGAGAGCTGCATCCTAACCACAAGATGATGAAACAGAAACACCTGTTGCAGACATTTTTGTTGTCCCATTTTTGTCTTAATGATACCCAAGTGGAGGCTGAGCAGTCACCAGGTTTAAAGCATTCTACTTTCTGACGACACTGTTGTGTGTGTCTCCCTCTGCGTTCAGAGCGTATGGGCAAAGTGGCTCCGTCTGTGTTCAGCGGCGTGAGGACGGGGTCAGAGACGGCTCTGGGGACGCCTGCTGCCGCCAAAGCTCCTGGAGCCAGTGTGTTCAGCAAGTAGACACAGGATACAAGAAAAACACTTGAAGAAGCACGCTCCAGTCTTGGTGATGCTGCATTATATGGATTGCAAACATTTTCTTAATGAAGAGATGATGATTTAAGAGAGATACATTGCATACTTTTATGCCAAGCCTGGCATAAAAGTATGTTAAGACAAGCCTGTTAAGGCAAACAGTTTAGTTACTTTGTCATTTGCACAGTGCTGCAGACGGATGTAGTGGGTTGGATCGTAATGTGGCTGTTGAACTGTAAATGTGATGTGAGATTTTATGTGTTGACAAAGATTGTCTGATTATTTGTTCTTTTTTTCTTTTTTTTACTGACCATTTTTCCTAAATAAATGATTTCTCCTGTATTGAAATTTAAAGTTGTTTTTTTATTGGTACTAAACTACAAAAAGAGGGAAATTTGTATGGAAATGGTAAAACCTCATCAAGTAAACTTGAAGATCTCTATGTCGATGCAGGACTGTGCTGTAACGTGCTAACATTATGGTTACAAACACAATAAGGCCTGAATGCACAGAGCGTCTGTTTGCATTCATATACACATACAAGCAAATGGGAAGATTTATCTCAGTCTTATGGTTAATCTAGGTAAGCTTGAACCTTAATATTATTCGTCATGTTCGGACAAAGTCAGCACCTCTATCTAAGTGGCCAAACAATTTGTTGTTGTTGGTTTTAAAATACATAGACAGGGCGAGGCACACAGCAAATTTTTGCCCCCAGGCCCCCTAGTGGGTTAATCCAGCCCTGGCTGAGATGATTGAAGTGTTTAATTGAAGTGTTTAAAAATTGAAGTGTAGATTTTAAAATTACAACATTTCTTGTCATAAGAGAGTTGGGTACCCGGAGGCGCACGGCGGACAGCCAGGACGACGCCGCCGCACTAGGTTTTCAGGTTCCGAACGGCGGGCGCTTCCCGTTGGCGCCAGACGCGCACCGCGAGCGCACCCCGTCGTCAGGTCTGTAAATCCTCGGAACAGGCCGCAGTGCAACAACACAGGGGTGGCGGGGGTAGAGGCGAGGCAACGCAATCCGACCGAAAAGGCCCAGACTAGAGGTTTGAACGCGGGCGCCCGAAGACGCTCGGCTATAGACGAGACTTTTTACTAGTTTCTTCGTGCAGACAAAGGTACCATTGGAAAAGCTGGTGTCGGTGATAACAGACGGGGCTCCCGCGATGACGGGCCGGCATGCAGGCTTCATTGCGCAATGCAAAGGTGACCCAGACTTCCCAAAATTTCTACATTACCACTGGATCCTTCACCAGCAGGCGCTATGTGCAAAAAGTAACCGGCTTTGATCACGTGATGATACAAAAATATCAGAGATGTGATACCTCTGACTTTCAAATGTTGAAACAGATTAACAGAAATAAAAGTTGCATGTTTAAATATGTATGTGTAGCTATACCATCATTCTTGTGGAAATCATTATTAATAATTATTGTGAGGAATAATTAACATTGACATGTGATCAAACAGTCTCTTCACATATATTATTATTATTAAATGGTGATCTTTCCAACTTTGTTATTCAGGAAGTTTGTATCAAATAAGTAGCCCTTCGTACTACTCGGTGCCCTTGAAGTAGCTCTCAGTTTAAAAAAGGTTGGTGACCCCTGGTTTAAACCAATACTCAAAGCAACCTGGTTAACAACAAAGCCCCAAATCACCTGCTGTTGTGAGATGAGCTCTGAATCTATCACTAACACTGTATTATAACATCCGTGCTGCAGATTATCAAGTTTAAGAAATACGGCACAAAATGAGCGGGTCAGTTTTGCCCAGTGCCCGTCTTGAATCCTTTGACAAAGCGAGCCAAACGCAGTGCCAAACAGAGTGCCATCTGATGACGATGACTCGCCAAAAATGGAGAGCAAAGGACAGCTCGTCTACATTGAAAAGTGTTTGTTTAAAAGGTTCAAAGTGGCATAAACCTGCAGTCAAAATGTGTCTGTTCAAGTGAAATCAATGTGGTCCACACAGATTTCCTTGAAAAGTCTATTCATCCCAGTATTACATCACAATGGTCTGATTCTTCTGCATGCACTATACCTATAGGCCAAATCTACCATTAATCAGTAAACATTATTTTGGGGGTGGATAATTTAACTTCAGAAAACACACAAGAGTCTGTCTGATTTACTTACAGTCCTCTACAAGTGAAGCAGGGAAAGTTGAGTGACAGAGTCCAGCACGTCTCTATCTGCTGATTTTTCAAAAACGTTCACAAACAGCAAAAGACATTGTGATATGTCTATAAACCTATATCTTGTAACTGACAGAGTTATTTAAACACATAGACAACATATATCGTAAATACAGATACAGCAACACAGATGTCTTGCTGCAATATGAACCGACTGCTGTGACGTATTGTACTGTGTTTGTATTTTCCTAAACTAAATAATATAACTAATATATACTGATGCTAACGCTCTAGGTGTTTGCATGTTGCCAAACGTCTTGTTAGGTTTAAGTTTAGTGTCAACCCAACTAACATTCACACACTTTTCAGCCCAGGCACAGATATTTTCACCAATGTTTACACTTCAGGGCCTCCTGCACTTTAAACTCAGGTCTGTTGGTCAATACTCCAGGTCAATGCACCCACAAACACACTTTTTGTCCCTCCTCCTCCTCCTCCTCCTGGACAGAGAGCTTTTTTTCTCAGCACTGAAGTCAGACGCTGTTCAGTGGAAGTTTAGTCATGTCTGGACTGCAGGGTGTTACACTGCTGCTGCTGTGGGGCAGCGCCTGCCTCTGGCTGCCCGGCCTGGCCCGGGGGGCTCTGGTCATCTCCGGGGGCCATGAAGCTCTGCAGGTAACTTCACACACTGACCTTTTCTGAGCCTAATTTGGAAACCACATTGTTTTATACGAAAGTATTAATTTTCTCCGGTGGTTCCTGATTTCACCAAATTATCTCTGCACAAACTAGTTTGGAACTTAAATCCTACTTGGTTTTACTATCACATTATGCCTTCTAACTTCTGCTCTTTGTACATATATACGACATAGAATGTAATGCTGTTTTTTGTGATAAGTTGGTTCATGAAATGCTTATCTTGGCATCTGCTGTATTTGTATTTCAGGAGACAAGAGGAGCTGCCAAATCACTGCAGGTACTTGTGAGAAACAATTTAAAGACGGACTGTCCTTTTACATGAAACTATAAATGTTGTTCCAAAGTGTGAAATATGTGAAAAAATAAACGAGGCTATGTTGATAATTCATATTATTTGGTAGCATGATGCAACAGTGGCCGATAAAATTGCCAGATTTGCGCAGTCTTGATTTTCCAACTGTAAGAACAATCTCCCTTTTCTTTTTTCTTTGTTACAGAAAAGAAGTACGGCTGAGGCCACGGTAAGAAAACAATCCGTTAGTATTGTTTGTATGTGTTGATGTGATTAGAAATATTCAGTTCAATGCAACTTTATTTATCCTGTAAGGGTAACGGTATGCAAATAAAAAAAAAGAGCAGAACAGAAAAAGATAAGGGAAGAATGATAAACTATTAATCAATATATCGGTGCTTCTCCGGCAGATTGATAAACAGGTCATAATACTGTCAATACAACGATTGAGAATAACTAAATTAACTGAAAAGGAGTTTAGTTTTCAAATTGCCACACTATCCCTGGATACAGCACCCAGGTTGACTCACTGAATCGCTCTCACACAACACTCCCAATGTGGAATCAGTGACGTAATGCCCTTCAAAAAAAAAAAAAAGTCAAAGTTGTGTTATGGTTTTCTTTGGCAGCAGTCAGGATAGCATGCTGTTTACTGGACCCAGGTGCAGTTCAGTTTGAAACCACAGCAGATCTTACAGTGCTTCATTGTGTAAAACTGCTGTATGTGAAATGCTTGTGGTAGAAGGCTTTCACTTGTGTTTCAATCGCTCCCTGTCCTTCTGTCTCAGGTGGAGGTGTACAGCGTGAAAGTGGACTGCACGGTGACGTCTCGTTTCGCCCACACCGTCATGACCTCCAGGGCTCTGAACAAGGCAAACTCCTCACAGGAAATCTTCTTTGAAGTGGACCTGCCCAAGACGGCCTTCATCGTCAACTTCAGCATGTCAGTCAGAATATAGTACTTTTGACGATTGGAATAGATCCTGTCTATCTTTACCTTTTGACAAGTGTCTTTGTTCCTCACAGGGAAATTGATGGGGAGGTGTATGTTGGGGAGGTGAAGGAGAAAGAGAAAGCCAAGAAACAGTATGAAAAGGCTGTTTCCTCTGGACAGACCGCTGGACTGGTCAAGTGAGTCATAACACAGTATGAAATACGCATTCAAAAAAGCATACTGCATCTAAACTTTCACTGACTTAGGGCAGATCGTTTTGACATGAGAGGCTGTCATTGGTGTCTGTGTTTCATCACAGGGCCTCTGGGAGGAAGATGGAGAAGTTTTCCGTGTCTGTCAACATCGCAGCTGAAAGTAACGTGACTTTCATTCTGACCTATGAGGAGCTCCTTCAGAGGAAACTGGGCCAGTATGAGATTCTGATTCGAGTTAAACCCAAACAACCGGTGCAGGAGTTTCAGGTGAATCCATGTTCATGTTCAAATCTCTCTTCAGATATTCTGAATGGTTTACCTTACAAATGATCCCTGCCTCTCTCTCTCTCTCTCTCTCTCTCTCTCTCTCTCTCTCTCTCTCTCTGTGTGTGTGGAGACAGATTGTGACAAACATCTATGAGCCTCAGGGCATTTCTTATGTGGATGCCCATGCAACCTTCCTCTCCAATGAGCTGCTCCCCCTGGTGAAGAAAACAGTCTCAGACAACAAGGTACACGATACAACAGGCCTTATTAAAGAAGTTGACTCTGATCCGTCTTGCAGATCCTCACTTATTTTTCTCCACATTCAATAAAATGATTGATCTAATAAACAAGAGTAAGCTAAACTAGTCGTATCGCTATCCCTTTGTCAGGCACACATCTCTTTCTCGCCAACTATGGAGGAGCAGAGGAAGTGTCCAGGTTGTGATGGAACGCTCATCGACGGAGATTTTGTCATCAAGTATGACGTGAAGCGAGCAAACAGCCTCGGGGACGTTCAGGTCAGCTGTCACTAAATACTCAGTATCTGCTGATGAATGCACATTTGAATCAGGCTTCACATGTAAAACTATGCAGATTCACTGTAATGTTGTTTTTCTGGAGGCTGAGTTGTATAATAAAATTGAGAAATTGACAAATGTGAAATGAATCAACAACATTTTAGAGGGGGAAATTCTTGCAGTTTTTGCCTTTTCATTCTTTCGTGTACATTACTGCTCTTCATTGTTTCTCATCCCTTCAGATTGTGAACGGATA